ACCCATATAATTAACTGGAAGAAGAGACTATATGGAAAAGAAATGCAGAGGGATAATTCCTGGACATATTTTCCAGTTATGTTGATAGAAAAACAATGGAAATGCATTATTTGAATTTCAACTTGTTCCATGATCAAGCCCAATAAAACTGTCTAGTAGAAATGAATACCAATAAGTGACACCAGCACTAGCTAAACAGATTTCTGAACATGTATCTTCTGTGTCTGCTGGACTGTCAACTATGCTTCTTAGGTTATGGTTCAATCTCTAGGTATCTCACATGAGTGTAAAATAATGTGCATTGGGGCAAAAAGTCTCAAGTTCATGTATAACTGATCCAAACTAGCAGTATCTGGCCAAGAAAGAAGATCTTCGTAAATTAATGGATATATTGATGAAAATGTCAACCAAGTGCATGGCTACTATGAAAAAGGCAAATTATATGGTGGGCTAAATTACAACAGGAGCTGTAAATAAAACTGCAAATGTTCTATTGTTCTTATATGAATACTTGGTGGCTAAAGCACCTAAAAGGTGTTTTGCAGAGTTGATGCAGAAAAGGGTAAGCGGAGTGCTGGAATGTCTCCACTATGATGAAAGGTAGGGCCACGAGGTTGGTGACCGGTTTGCAGGGGATGGGGTATGAGGCAAGACTGAGGGAACTGGGTCTCTTCAGCCTGGAGAAGAGGAGACTCAGAGGGGATATGTTGGCGACATACAGGTATGTGAGAGGATGTCACATGGACATGGGTAGAGACCTGTTCTCCCCTACAGAGGAAGGCAGGATGTGCTCCAACGGAGCAAAGCTCAGGGATCCAAGGTTCCATTTTGATGCAAGGAAGCACTTCCTGACAGTCAGGACCCCGAGGGTGTGGAATGGGCTTCCACGAGAGGTCGTTGAGGCCCCATCGGTGTGGGTGTTCAAGGATAGGCTGGACGTCCACATGGTGGGCATGTCTTGAGCGGAGCCGGCTGGTGCCGGAGGTCAGACTAGATGGCCTGGGAGCCCTTTCTGACTCGCTCTGTTTCTATGTTAAGGTTACAATGCCTGGGACTGCTTGGCTCAGAAAATAGGCAAATGAAAAGAAAGTTGTTGTGTACAAAATCATGTATGGGGTGAAGAAATCTGATTGGACAATTTTTTCTCTCTTTTTCATAATACTACTTGGATGGCTGATTCCAGGAAGTGGTCCTGGAAGATTATTGCTCTGTTTTTTTGGCATTTATGCCATTGGATACCACAGGTCTCTACCTAGTCCCCTTGCTGTTCCCTGTCTACATGAAAATACTACATAATTTACAAAAATATTGACTGAGGTAACACCAATATGTGGATGACACCCTGCTCTATCTTTCCTTCATACGAAGTTTAGGTGAGGCAGTAGATGTTAGAGCCAGTGTGGTGTAGTGGTTAAGAGCATGGGACTGGGACTCAGGCGATCTGGGTTCTAGTCCCCGCTCAGCCATGGAGCCAACTGGGTGACTTTGGGCAAGTCACAGACTCAGCCCAACCTAATTCGCAGGGTTGTTGTTGTGGGGATAAGATGGAGGAGGAGATGTAAGCTGCCTTGAGCCCTTTGTATCCTGTAAAGCAGGATATAAACCGAAAAATAAATAAATAAATGTTCTGAACCTGTGCCTTAATGCAGTAATAGACTGGCTGGTGGTCAGTAAACTGAAACTCAGTCCAGATAAAATAGTGGTATTATTGGTGCATAGTTCTTCTGACTGGATAAAAGCTATTCATCTTGTTCTAGAAGAGCCTGCACTTCCTCTAAAGGATCAGGTGGGTGATGCTCTCATACCCAGTACTATCACATACTAAAGAAATGGGTAGTTTCAGGGACATAGATCATCTTTTATCAGCTGATGCCAATTATATCATTGGTATATGGGTAAGGATAGGATAAATATAGATATTCATACTCTGATAAGCTCTCAGACCGATTACTGCATTGTGTTAGATGCTGGGCTGCCTTTGAAAGCAGTTTGGAACTACACCTAGTCCAAAATAGGTCAGCAAGATTGTTAAAATGGACTGGCCCATGTGATCATATTCTGTCAGTGCTTTTTGATATGTATAGGCTGCCAGTTTATTTTCAGGACAAATTCAGAGTGCTCTAACTGGCTTGGGGACAGGTTACCTGCATATATACTTGTCCAGATTCTAAGGTCAGCTTCCAGGGCCCTTCTGCAGGTGCCTCTACCAATGAGGTGAGCTGACAGCAAGGGGAGATCTTTTTCATTAGTAGCACCCTGGTTATAGAATGCCCTCTCAGAGAGGTTCACCTGGATCTTACATGGTGATCCTTCTGGTACCAAATGATCTTTTTCCTGTTTTTTAATCCATACAGCTTTAATCATTGTATTCCTAGAATAGAATTTGCTACCACAAGAAGTAATGATCATCATTAACTTGGATGGCTTGAAAAGGGAACTAGCCAAATTCATGGAGGGTAAAGCTATCAATGGCTACTAATAATGATTGATGTCTACTACTTCCAGCATCAGAAATAGTATTCCTATGTATACCAGATACTGCGGAAAATGAATGCAGGATCCTACTGGTGGGCATCCCACAGATAGGTCATTGGCCACCACAGACCAGATAGTTGTTTGGTCTGATTAGGCATGGTTAATTCTTACTTAATAGAAATGTTATGAATAAACTGCTGGTACTGTGCTTGAAAAACACTGCTCAAATGCTGTGTTAGAACCAGAAATATGCCAGCATTATTTGTCATGAAAAAAGAAAAGTCTGTGTGTGAGGGGGGAGGGGGTAGATTGAAAATAGTTTTCTGTTTAAATATATGTTTGGGGGTTTTGGTACTGTTTTGGTTTGTATCCAATCATAGTTAAATTATAAGACTGCCCTAAGTTTAGAGTACAGTATTAAATTGACTGAGGCGTTATACAACTTGTAAGTCTGAAAGGCTATAATGTTATATTCTATCCACTCCAAAACTTAAGAGGCAGCAGAACGAAATATAGATTCAAATTCAAGGTTCCTCCAATGGAATTTTTTTCATGTCGGCCTGTTACAAATGGAAAAAAAATTCTAAACCTTATTTTCTTTTTCACAATTTGGACTTTCTAGCTGGTCCTTGGAATCCAGGTTAAATTAAAAAATACCTAAAGTAAGAGATATATAGCTTCATATTGCAGGGTAAGTCATTTTACCCTCATATGAACTACAGTCAACAACTTTAGGGAAGTGTATTTCTATTTTAGCTGTAATACTCTAATCAAAAAAGCTACTTTCAGTGTACACTTAATGTTTGCATCGAGGCCTAAAATATTTAAGAGAACCAAGAACACTTTCTTAGAGGTGGATATCAGTGACTGTTACCTGATCCATGACTGAAACTCAAATCCTAGGATGGGAACAGTCTCATGTACAGATAACTGGCACTAACTGCTCATAGTGGTATTTATTTCAGAGACTCAATGGAGACAGCAAGAGTAAGGAGTTATTGAGGAACACAATGCCTTATTTTCAAAATAAAATAGCATCAATGTAAGGTAATCCAGTTTACCAACTGACCTAGTTCAACTGATAAACTAGCCCAGTTCAGGAATGTTTGCAAGAGTTGCTACCCAATTTTTCCAGAGAACCATTTCTCCCCTAGACTTAATTATAATAGCACACATACCTAGGAGAGTACCAAATTGACAGTTCAGTTGAAAACCACAATTCTCAGATGGTTCTTACGTTACTTTAATTTTGTAGCTTGCAGAATCATAAGTGTCATGAGCTTTTGATTTTTCCACAATTAGAGCAACATTTGAAGTGGAACTTGTAGCGAGATGCACATGCTCCAGAGTAGGAAAAGGCATATCTGGTCCTGTAAGCTACACAATTACCTATACACTGATCCGGACTTCTGCCACCCTGCTCTGTTAATATTCCTGCTACTAACAAGCAAAGGAGCTACAAAGGCAGCTTATATTAAACCCTCTTATTCTATTTATGAGACTTCTGACAGTTGTTTCTTATACTACACCAGACATGTGGGAACACTGCTCCTTCCTTCACCAGTGGATAATGTGGGAATGCTGGGTAATGTGGGAATGCGAAAGGAAGAAGCCGTAAAAATCCTCCATTTGCACTAGCATCCACACAATTTTTCTGGATGGGTATCTGTCTTGGGATCACTGCGGCATGTGCTCTTCCCAGCAGACTTGGCCCTTTTCATGATATTGCACTGTTGCAGACAGGAGCCACACTGCTTGGGATTTCACACAATAAGGAACTCATCTTGCAGACTATTTCCATCATTACTTGGAGACAGCACAGAGAAGACAGTAGGATTGTTTGGCAAAGAAACACACTTGAGTGAGAGAATGGAGTTCATTCTTTGACCATCCTTTTAGAATAAAAACACACAAAAAAACCCCCTTCAATTTTTCCATGCACATTCCTTTTCTGAAAGAGTATCATCAAATTATATTTGGATTTTCATGAAATTTATTTGAAATTGTAGATTAATTTACATGAAAGAAGAATGGTTTCACTTTGAAGGGAGGGATCATTAATTTTTGTTTACCATACTGCTTTGCACCATGTTCTCAAACTACTTAAGCAACTTGCAGCTCACCAAATGCTTTGGCCACCAAGTAAAGTGTAAAGCTGACAAAGATGAAATGTGCGGCCTACAGAAGTCTCCTCCAACCTGGTGCCTTCCAGCTTCCATTAGGATGGAGAAGGTTGGGCAACAGGAATGAAATAATTCTACAATGAAGGACTAAACCTGATGTACTTCTGTACTTCTGCTTATGTAACATGAGTTTCTCTTTCCTTCATCCCACCTACAGTCTCCCTTAGCCCCTCAACCCCAGTCCCCAAAACCTCTGGAGCAAGAAGTCATAGAAGAATGGAAATTCCATTCACTACTGGTTTCCATAGTATGAGAGGAAGGGTTTTACCAGATACAAACCAGTGTTTTAACAATACTCCATCATAGTAAATAAAGCATAGTATTTGGCATTATAGACAATACCTGCACATTTGGTTCTGGTGATAAGTGGAGGGCCAGGCTGACCAGTGCCACCTTCTCCGGGTCTGGTTAGAAGAACATGAATCTCATATTCTGTGTCTGGGTCCAAGTGCCACAGCTTGTAGGTTGGTGCATTTACAGCATGAGTTTCAGTCCAGGTCCCAGTTGTCATATGGTATTCAACTTCTTTCAGGATAATAGGGCCATCCCCAATAATTGAGTTAGCATTCAGCTGAATCAGCAAATATGTTGGTCCAACGCCAAGCAGTTGTGGTGGTGCTATTGGTCGAGGTGGTTCTGTAAGACACAATACAGAAAAATGAAATCAGAAAGATAATAACCGTAGATACACCTATGAACCAGGATTCTAACAAAGTTTATATAACTGAAACATACGCAAGTATGTGCGTGTTTAAATGCATGGCCTACAACAGATACGAGCTGATAATAAAAATGATTAAATATATTTTAATACTGGTGCAAAATTGAAATTACGACTAGGGAACTGAAAGGGAGGTTAAAATATAACAGTGGAGTTTCTGCCTCCAAGTACCATTGCCTAAGAGTGATTTATCTGAGAAAGCAATTAAAGCATACTTTCCTAAATACAATGAATCCACTAATAAACACCGAGGCTTCATTTTCATTCCAGATGGTTCATATTTTGGCTAATTTGTTTTTGTTAATTAGGCAACAATGCTAAATTCAAAGCACACAGGGGTTTCACAGTCAGCAGTAATGCAATGCAGCAACTCCACAAGCTGGATAGGAGTCTAGAAAAAATGTCAGCCTAAAATATCTGTTAACATTTTCTGCATGTGTTCTATCTTTTGGGGGGAAAAACCTGTGCCTTCCTATATGAAAAGCAGGAGCTTCTAAGAATCCCTTGTGCAAGTTAGACACTATATCAGTCTAAAATAAGATGCTTTCACTTTCCTGTAGATTATGATCTACAGAAATGATCTACATCACAACTCCCTGGCAACAGCTTACACAGTGTGGCTCTTCATACATAAGGCAAATGGTTACTGTGCAGGTATTCTTCTTACCTTGCATTCTGTGTTCACACATCCATGAAATAACTACTCATAAGGAGTTTCCCTGTGCCCCTCACCTTCTCCCGCAATGGTGGCATGCGTCCTATCAGCCTCTGCAGCTGGGAACAAATCTCAGCACCCACAGCTCCTGCCTCTGTCACCTGGCTCCCCCCTTCCCCCCACTGGCCTGTGTTCTTAGCTGGCTGCCACTTCTGAATACCCATCTTATGCACCACTCCATCCCCTCACCTCTTTGCCCCCCTGCCACTCCACTCCCTTGTCTCTTTGCCACTTTGCCGCTTGCCACAATGCCAGCCTTGCAAGGTGCACGCAAGAGATGCCAGCCTCCCAAAACATGTGTGCATGTGAGAAAGCCTTGTGAGGCTGCCATCTCTCCTGCACACATGCGCCTCACAAGGCTGGCATGGTGGCAAGTGGCAAAGAAGAGCAACACAGTGAGGGGGTAAAGCAGTGAGGGGATTGGCAACTGGCCAGCTGGTGTATGAGGTGGTGATCAGCCAGGGTGGCTGAGCAGCAGCAAGCATGCAGAGGGTGGCTAAGAAGTTGTGTTTAGAATTTGAGATTGAACTGCATTAATTTTTTACATCATTTTTCAATTGTGACTTTCAAAAATCAAAACAAAAGCAAAAATAAAAACAGAGAAATAAAATAGAATAGAATTTAATAAAAAATACCAAAGAAATATCATATTTCCTGGACTTCGTTGACTTATCTTTTCAGATCTTTTAAAATATGTCTTGCTCTTTCTTTCTTTCTTTCTTTCTTTCTTTCTTTCTTTCTTTCTTTCTTTCTTTCACACACATACACTGTGATTAAAAAACAAAAAGCAAAAACAAACCCCTTCCAATTTATGACCAGATTTAAGACCAAGCTCCATTTTTGAAATGGTGGAGAACATGGAGATATATCAATTTAACAAAGACAGTTTTCATAGGGCTCTTCCCGCCTGCCCACCACATACACACAAGAAACCAAATTAAAAACTAATTTCAACTTCCGAATGAATCTAATTTCAATGATGAAGTTAGCATGAATGATAATTCATGGGGTGAGAAGTGAAGATCTTATGTGTCCAACTCACGAAGTCTACAAATAATGAACTCTATGTCGTACAGCATACCATTCCACCAGTTCCATTTTCTAACATAGAATTTTGTTTTCAAACAATGTTGGAAGTACATCTGTACTGACACAACAGATGACTGCTGAGGTGTGTTTTGATACTGAGATGGAGGTTTACTTCAGGGTTTTGTTATTCAGTGGTTCATTGTTGCTAGTATCTATCCTAAGCTATCCTCAACCACTTAAATCAGCTCTATCTTCTAAGTTCTTAGAACAGTACACTGTGTTGGGAAATATGTACTTTGAGTAATAACACTGTGACTATTAGGATAAAGTTATGCACTCATAAGACTAATATATCACTTCGTATTACATTTTTGTTAGGCTAGAAGCAAAGCAGATTCTCCTATTTGCATATACATTTTATTTTCAGGCTCTTGAAGACAAGGAGACATTTACAAGTCTCTTCATGTTTCAGTAAATTATGCATGAATTTTAATCAGTTATTAAATGAACCAGTAATTGTTCTCAGAATTATTAATATTCTTCATAACACAATACTCTATCAGAGCCAGAGGTGTGGCGTAACCAAGATTCCCAAAAGTACGCTAACTGGCAACTGAAGCATGCAATCCCAATATACCAGATAAACTTTTCTGATGTTACCTAATTAACTTTCCTATTAATGGTTCTCATTCCTTATTCTATAACCAGAGTTATCAAATATTCCCCAATTATAATTTCAAAGTTGCAGAGTTTACTTCTATACTGAAAGTAACCAGAAACTTTCTGAATCTTTAATCAGAAGTAAGTGGGCAAATTCTGAGGCTGTTATACATTGGTTTTATATGACACAGTTTTCATATGTTTATACCATTAAAAAAACCCTTTAAAATAGCTTCTAGAAGCTCCTACTATAAGATGAGAGCACCTTGTCTTTTAGCTTACTATCCCATGAGTGTCATTAACAAGCTTAGTAAATCCTAATTTAATTTCAGAAATGACATTTGCCCAGATGTTGTATAACAGGAAAAAAAGGAAGGATGTGAATATATCAAACAGCAAGTCACTCTTCCAGACAGCACATCTTTTTGTATGGTGCCTACAGGCTGCTTGTTCCCAAACTTTCTTACATGTCTGGGGAAATGTTGAATGAAATAAATGCTCTATTTTTAGGTAATTTGGCAACAAAGGGGCTTGTGGCACCTTAAATGCATTTTGGAATGAAATGGCCATATACCCAGAAAGCATAAGGGTTCGTGAGCTTATAAATCCAAAGAAGGAGCCAATTTTTACATTTCACATTTTATAAGAAGCACAAACATATCAGACATATTTGAGGATTGGATATGTGGTACATAAAAATTAATCTGATTCAGAAGACATAACAACCTACCCTTGTTTGTTGTGATTGGTCGGTTCTCATGCCATGCAAACAGGGCCTACTTCACTAAAGGTGGCTTGCTTTTTCAAACAATTGGCCCGTTGTGCCCATGGGCTGTTCTCTCTAGGATTGTTGTCTCCTGTGGTGGGTTGCTGTGTTGTCTGAACCCATATGAGCAGCAAAAATATTTTGCCAGCATTAACAGGCAACTATCAGAGGAGTGCTGTTGACAGCAACCGCCAGAATGCCAACAGGCAACTAGAGTCTACTGTCAGAAGCTTCCCCTTGCCCATGGTGGCATAAAGAGGCCATCCTTGTGATGGCTCAAGAGGATGGCTAGGAACTGCTTCTCCCTGAGGAACAGGCACAAACTCCTCAGGTAAGGAACTGCTCTCAAGCTGCTGGCCTGGAAGCCTGCAAGATGGGAGCCAGAGATCCCGGAGTGTTCCAGGCAGTGACATGGAACAGACTGGGCATCTCCACCTCCTTCCCAAGCCATCAACTGTCAGGCAGGAGGTGGGGCCCCCATAATCTGCTCAGTGGGGCTGCCCTGTTCTCAAGGTGATCTGGGGGGAGGAGACAGGGGTGTCCAATCTGCTACCCCATGCTCCCCACAGCACTTCAGAGCAAGAACTAAGCTTGCACTATGGGCACTGCTGGAGCAACATGCCCTCTGTGATATCTCCACTGTTGCAGCTTGTAAGACAGGTGGACTGAACTACACTGTCTGGAACCTAATACTTCCCTGTTATGAATGCTAGAACTATATATTAATAGTGAGAGAGATGCAAGGTCAAGCAACAGCCATTCCATTTGTCCTTTTGTCCTTAGCTCTTGCCTGTCCCCTGAACCCCAAGAGGTGATTGGAGTAATCTTGTTCACAAAACACTCCAAAATTTAAGCTAACAAACTAAAGCTCAATCCACCCAAAGGTGAGATGATGTTTGGTGGTCACTCTGACTGAATGGAAGGTGTTCAGCTCCTTCTGAACAGGGTTACACTCCTCTTGAAGGAGCAAGTTTGCAGTTTGGAGGTCCTCCTCGAACCATCTTTGTCACTTGAGGTTCAGATGGTTTCAGTGTTATGGAGTGACTTGTACCGGCTCCAGCTGGTATCCCAGCTACAATCCTATCTGAACAAAGATAGTTTGCTTTGAGTAATCCTCAGTTTACCTTTTTAACTTCATTTAAAAAAATTGCATCTTATTCTGTGGTACTGCTATGCTTCCATGTTGATTCTATTGCTATTGCTCCTCAGTTTTGTTTTAAATTGTTTTTTGTTTGTGTATGTGTTTTTCAACTTTCTGCTAACTCCCCAGAGAGCCTCAGCTATTGGGCAATATAAAATTAATTAATTAATTACTCTACCTTCTGGTAATTTCTGAATTAGATGCTGCAGTCTACATGGGGCTGCCCTTGAAGATTAAAAACTGCAGATTATCCAAAAACATGGCAGCCAGACTAATAACCAGGGCTAGAAAATCTGAACATATAAGACCATTACTGGCCCTTCTGTATTGGCTGACTATATGCTTCCACACCTGACTCAAGAGCCTTGCTTTACCCCATAAAGTCTTTCACGGTTTGAGACCACAGTACATGATCGAGCTTTTCTACTAATCTAGGGCAATCTACCCAGTTACTACAGCATCTCTTCATCTTCAGGATTCAGACTTGAATTGTGACTACTGGAAATATAGACTGACCCACAGAGTTCCATTAAAAATTATCAGACAGTTTCAGTGCGCAAGCTAAGTCCAGTGTGGTGCAGAGCATGGAGCTGGGGCAATCTGG